AAAAGATGTATATTGCTTTTTAATTCATAGGAAAGGGTTGAGTGCTAGATATGTAAATAAATAATGATTTGATGCTAGTTATGTAAATGCCCAAAGAAATGAAATATTGCCGCTATTTCAAGCATAGAGTTTGTTGGCATTTTTTTTAAATATATATTTTTTATGTTTTATTTTATTTTTTAATAAAGTTGTTGGCTTGAATGTGAAATTTTATTCAATGGATTTTGTGGAATTCAAATTTTTACTTTATTATTAGTAGTTAACATTTTATATCTAAATTAATAGCTCGCATCGCTACTATGACCTTTTACTTTTATTAATTTTTTTTTTTTTTTATTTCAACAAGCATGTTAGAAAATTCGAAGCCGTAGAGTAATAAATTATTGTCATAACATTGCACGAGAATTCAACGCACATTCATGTAAAAGAGAACAACCAATTATGAAATAAGAAGTTTTTATGCGAAAAACCTGTGAAGAGGAAAAAATCACGGTATTGGCCCAGTTGTCAAAATTCACTGTAGTTTGATGAGTACAGAGCCCCTTGTCTCATAGACGAGAAAGGGTTAATGGATTTTTCAAGTTACAATGCTGACTGGTAGCTTTTTGGTCGGTGGCGGTCGATAGTGATTGGCGGTGATTAATTGCGGTCTGTTGTGGTCGAAGACGGTTGGTGGTGGTTGATTGTGACAATAGTGTTCAACGGTGGTCGGTGGTTGTCGACGATAATCAACAGTGGTCTACGACGATCGACGACAGTTGGTGGTGATTGACGGCGGTTGACACATGGCGACAGTGGTCGACGATGGCCGGTGGCAATCAACGGTGACAGGGGTGGTGCTAGACTTCAGCTCCTTCTCAATGCTTTAAATTCTCTCTCAAGCCTCCAGCCCCCTCCCATGAGAAGGGTGAGGCTCTATTTATAATGTTCTGGATGCAATAAATGCAAAAATATGAATCATTTTAATCGGACGGTCTGGAGTACTTCATTTAATCAGATGACGTTTGATGAACATTTGAGTGCCTGAACAATGTCGGAATTGAGCAATCTTGGGCTCATTGGATTCGTCTTATCGAGACGCTCGATTCGCGCTCGATACGATTATAGGTTTGCTAGATTCAACATTCGTTTAACCTTCTAAATATGTCTGAAAAGCTTCTAAGTGTGGTTTAATGACTTTATTTAAACTTGATTTGACTCAAATTAGACTAATTTTGATAACATTGGGTTCTTCTTGTCGAGCTAGTCAGTTTGACTTGAAGTTTGCTAAAACAAAGTTCTGGATGAGTTTTATCGATGTTTCAGTATTTCTTGCTCAAAAAGTCATCTCGAGATCTATCTTACCTCAAGATTCCTATCGGATGACGGAGATCTGTTGGAAATGCATAATTAAGCAAGTAAATTGCAGACTAATGATTTAAAGGGTCATTACAAACATACACAACACAATTTTTATTTACTTCCATATCCAACGACTAAACTTTCATTTCTATATACATAACATTAAAATCTTTAATATCACTAATAATTACTTTTTAAAAAAGAAATACACTATTCATATATAGATTAGTGACATTAAAATGTTATAAAGGTAAATATGAAAGCTTAGGTGCTAGGTATGTAAATTCATAAGAATTGTGTGGCACATATATTTAATTAATTAAAATTAAATATAATAATTTAATTTTAATATAGAAAAAAAAGATTTTGAGTATCATATATATTAGAGGCATTTACATATATAAAATGCATGCTTACACATATAACATTATATCAAATTAAAAATTACACAATACACCTTTTCATGAATCAGAAACGTGGATTAATGTACGTCAGAATTACAGTTTAGGTGCTTACGAGGGCTCATAAATAATATTGAAAATATATTCCCTTCTTTGACTTTACAACTCTGTGATTGGACTGCAAAGTTGTAATTTTCAAAATTACACCCTGTAATTGTCCTTTTCCATGAAATTCTTCTCCGTATTTTTACACCCAATATTCAAAACATTGTTCGTACCTTAGTTAGGAGGAAGGGGCATTTACATATATACCATATACTTTTTTAAATTTACATATCTAAAATATATGAATTTTGATATTTAAATGTATATTTCTCGAATATTTAACATCACATCAAAACAATCACAACCACCACCGACGACGGTCGGCGGTGGTTGTCGGCGGTCGATGGTGATGCTGAGCTGCAGCTTCTCCTCAAGGCCTCAAGTTCTCTTCTTCTCTGAATTTCAAGTTTCTCTCATGTGAGGGGTGGGGGTCTATTTATAGTGTTTTTGGTGCAATTAATGCATGAATTCAACCATTTTTATTGGACAGTCCATAGAGTTTCTTTTGATCATGTCGCACTTAATGGACATTTGAGTGTTTTAACGATGTCGAAATTGAGTTATCTTTGTCTCGTTGGATTCGTCTTATCGAGCCGCTCGATTCGAGTGTAAACTTGCAAGTGTTGACATCTGTTTGATCTTTCAAATGTGTTTAGAAATCTCCCATAGGTGGTTTAATGATTTGATATAAGATTGATTTGACTCGGATTTGACTAGCTTTCATATTAATAGGTTCGTCTCATCGAGCTTGTCAGTTTGACCATAAGTTTGCTAAAATCGGAGCTCTAGATGACTTTTTTATCAAGATTTAAATGTTTCTTATTTTAAATATCGTCTTGAGATTCATGTTATGCTTCGAGATTCTTGTCAGGTCATGAAAATTTGTTAGTGACCTATCATATATAAATATATAACAACTGAATGATATGCATGAGCAGCTCAAGATTCATAATTGTAGAAGTAAACACACATAAGAATTATGCCATATACATCTAAAAATAACAAAAATATATATATAATTAATCAACAAATATTATATTATATTATCTAAGAAAATTAATAAATATTATCAATAAAAGGCAAAGATTAATCTAAAAAGTCAACGGTCAATAAGGACGTGTAGTGCACAAGAAATGGCAAACAAATTAAGAAAAAAATATATTTTTTATCAAATTAAAGTTCCAATTAATCCGACGGATGGCAAGTCATCCCTTGGCTTTTTCTACGGCTTTCTCACCGGCCCAAGTAAACACCTGTCCCGGTCCCACCACACCAGCAGAACCGGACCCGGTCCAACTAACTTATAATTATAATTACAATAAGTTAATTCCGATAATTAGCTTTTAAATCTCAGTTTAAGATACAATAGTTTTATTATAATTATATTTTATTGATTTTAATAAACCACGCGCAAAAAATGGCTAACTAACCCGCCGGGCCCGCCGCAGCCGTCCGATCACGACAAGCGGCTGGCTGATTTAGAATATATGAAAATTTACACACGTGCCCCAAAATTTTTATATATTTACATATGTGGTCAGTAGCAACTTAAATTTCTTCCTACACTATTTTATTTCAAATTCTTATCATGCATGAATCTACGTCACGACTATCTGGCTATTGATGGGGCAAGTCTGTCGCCGAACCTGATGTTTCGATAATAGAACCCATTGTTGACAGAATTGGTTCAATCTGAATCCAATCAATCACAAACTAAGCCCCTGAGACAAGTTTAAAGGCTTTGAATTGTCAATTAAATGATCAGATGAACTATGAATTTGACATATTTATAGTCGAATCGAGTGTTTCGATGGGAGAAATTCAATGATACTAAGATCGCTCGATTTCTAGGTCATAAGACACCCAAATTCTTATCAAGTGGTCATGAAACTTGTGTAAAAAGACAAAATGTCCCTCCCCAAATGACTATAAATAGAGCCCATCTTTTCACTCTGATGAAAGGAAAAAAGAATAATAGAATATATATATATATATATATAGTATAATGCCCCGATATAATGAAAGTTCATGCTTATAAACCTTGGAATTTAACCTAGCGGCATGAAGTCTTTTTAAGGAAAAAAAAAGTTAGAATATTTTAATTTTAATTTAATAGTGATGAGCATTGAAATTATAAAAGTAATTTTAGAATGAGTATAAAATAAATGTGTTTGATTAATATATATTATATTTATCCTAAAATTAATTCTATAATTAAGAGATTAATTTTGACCAAATTTAAGCCAAGACTTTACTCACGCATTCTCTTAATTTTTTTAGCAATTTCATATGCATCATAAGAAACTGATAAATTATTTTCGATCTAATCTATCAGTCATGGTACAGAATATCTTTGGAAAAAAGCAATGTCTGATTGATCAGTTCATCAGAAGAAACATACAGACCAGATCAGTGAGTCAATTCGCCAAGTCAGTTGGACAACAAGTGTCAGACAACTAGCAAATTTGTCAGACCAACCTATCAGGTCACTCTGATAACAATCATATGTTCTGCATGATTTGGCTAAATCAGACCTACGACGTTTGCTAGACTCGAGCTTGGACCTTCATTTATTCACATGTTTGAATCAAGATCTCATTGAGGCTGTTAATTTCTCCAATATTATGTAGCATAGTGAGAAACATACTTAGTTTAAGCATCCTCAATTGGCTCACACTAATAAATTATCTTTATTTTCATAAGCTTTTTAATACATAAAATGATAATTTTTGTTGAGGAAAATTGATATATCATAAAAAATGGTATTAAAAATTAATTATATTATTAAAAAATAAATATCTTTTTAATTATTTAACATATATAAAGACCATGCTAAAGAGATTTATAATTAATTACCTAAATTCATACTTAGCATTAAACCGCCTATGATAATTAGCGCTTAATTGTAAATCCCTCTCAACCATCCGTTACTTTGCGGGAATCGGACTCCACGGATTCTCCTCACGAGATTTAAAAAACGAGATGAAGTCCGCATATGCATTTCCTAAAAAGCCCCCATCTTCTTGTTCAATTTACATTTGGACCCATTCCCACGACATTGGTATCACCTGTAATTGTATCATAAACTTAGGGTTTTAATTCATGTAGCGTTAGCGTTCAATGAATTAAAGTAAAAGAAAGAAGAAACTACAGTCGCCGAGGTGGGTGAGCACAAAAAGCACCTTAAAATGTTCCGGAGGCACAGCAGATCATGCCTTCTCGCCGACTCGTCGACCTATTTATAGTCCCGTAGACTACAGAGCGGCATAGTTCACCTGCCGGAGGTGAAACGCCCGGCGAACTCTTCTTATTGTAGCTGATTGTTTTACTTATAATCTCACCGTTTTCGTCCTCTTATAAGCCCCCGGATTTGACCGGAACGACGATGGCTTCGGAGCTCATCTACCGGGGCCACGAAGCTCAGCCTCTCGGTGATGCCCTCTACTCGCCGAAGCCGATGAAACGGTGGCCATCGCTTCCAAGACCGGTGCGGTATCTTCTACGGGAGCAGCGGCTTATCTTCCTGGTTGCCGGGATGGGTCTAGCCGCGATTGTTTTGGCGTTGGCTCCGAGATCTCCAGCGACTCCTAGGGAGATAGCAGGGGCGGCGCACGTGATGGTTGGGATGGCGGCGATGGCCGAGAAGCGATGGCAGGTGTTTGAACCGGTCAGGATGGGTTCTGTTGGGGGGAAAGTGCCGCTAGGGTTGAAGAGAAAGGGGCTTAGAGTAGTGGTTACCGGAGGAGCAGGATTTGTAGGGAGCCATCTGGTGGATCGGCTGATTGAAAGGGGGGATAACGTTATTGTGGTGGATAATTTTTTTACCGGGAGGAAAGAGAATGTCATGCATCATTTCGGAAACCCTAATTTCGAGTTGATCCGTCACGATGTCGTCGAGCCGCTGCTTCTCGAAGTTGATCAGATCTACCACCTTGCATGTCCCGCTTCCCCTGTTCATTACAAGTTTAATCCCGTCAAGACGATCATATCCTTTTTCATTGATCGGATTTTATTTATGTTTGCTCTCCGGCTGTTGCTTCTGTCCCTTGTTCTGTTCTATGGGCGCACGAAACTTGATTTTCCTTTTACTTTTTACACCCCGGATTTTCGTTTTTTTTAATTCCATATCGTTCTCCATGTATTGCTCCCCTTATTCGATCCGGTCAAAATCAGATCAGTTTTCATCACGGATCTAGTAAATTTTGGTTGTTATTTTTTCTGTTTCTTTTCTTCTTTAATTTCCTTAACTCACGATTTGGGTGAGCGCACAAGACCAACGTTGTGGGAACTCTCAACATGCTTGGATTGGCCAAGAGGATCGGCGCCCGCTTCCTCCTCACTAGCACCAGCGAAGTCTATGGCGATCCTCTTCAGCACCCGCAGGTCGAAACATATTGGGGCAACGTGAATCCCATTGGTCTCTCTCTCTCTCTCTCTCTCTCTCTCTCTCTCTCTCTCCCCCCTTAGGCTCCATTCTTAATTTTCACTTTCATGGCGTTTTCTGATTGTATTATTCACACGCCATGGTGGGGACGTGCAGGGGTTCGAAGCTGCTACGACGAAGGGAAGCGGACAGCCGAAACTCTGACCATGGATTACCACCGCGGAGCTCAAGTCGAAGTACGCCTAGTTTCTTCTACTTGTCAACATAATTATTACTTAGTACTTTTATGTGATGATTAATTGGGAACAGGTGAGGATCGCTCGGATCTTCAACACGTACGGGCCTCGCATGTGCATCGATGATGGCCGGGTCGTCAGCAACTTCGTCGCCCAGGTTCCGTTCTCTTCGAATCGGTTTCTCCTCTATTGAATTTCTGATTTTGTTGTGATATTATATATATATATATATATATATATATATATACATATAAGATGCATAAAAGATGCATTTGGCTTTAAAATTCGAGTGTCATGAGCCTCAATATTAAATTTTAGGTTTTAGATATGTAAATATATAAGAATTATGTGGTATGAATGTAAATGCCACTTTTTTTTTATTAGATTCGTAAATTCTTGCATTTAAAATCATGATTGATTCTCAGAATATTAAATCTGGTTTATGATAAATGTAATATTAATTATTTATGTATTATATTGGATTTGAGATCCCCTACCGATCATAACTTTCCAATAAAAAGGAAAATCTGTGAAGCCGTTACCAAATTTAAAACTAAGCTTAAAGTAAGCTGCACATGATGGGCTATGGCCTTGCATGTTTTGGTTCATTATTTCTTGGTTCGAATCTAGACGATATCTGATCTGTTAAATATGAGCTGTAAACTAAATAAAAAATTTAGTTTGGGATCAATTAACTAAATTTTGATTAAAACTTTAATTACATAAAATATTTGTGATATTATCGTCCAAAATTTTTTCAAAATTCCTTGAACCTAAAGCGCCAAGTTCCTAAAAGAATAACGCTTAATTGCACGCCGCTTGATTTTTGGCCAGAACAGTTGGAAAAAATATTACCTCAGGAGTACTGATGCTGATGCATCAGTACTCCAATGAGGGGGTGCCACGTAGGCACCACGATAGGACCATTGCCTACGTGGCACCCCCTCATTGGAGTACTGATGCATCAGCATCAGTACTCCTGAGGTAATATTTTTTCCAACTGTTCTGGCCAAAAATCAAGCGGCGTGCAATTAAGCGTTATTCAGTTGACCCTTTTAAGCTTACTCTTTTTAAAATACATTTGATAAATAAAATAAATTTTACTTTTCTATCTGTTCGGTCATAGTATAGCTAATTATAATTGGAGGAAAAATTAAGTGAGGATAATGTACCTATGGATTTGTGGTGTTATTGCAGTGATATTGTCCAATCTGTACTTATTCGAACCTATCATCAGCATGTAATATTTGTTCTTATAATTGTTATACATGTCAGTATTCTTCTTTATTATTCCTATGGATTCACATTTTTTCTTTCATGATGATTTATCCTATTTAATTATATTTTTAATATTTTGGGGCATTTACATGCATACCACTCAATTCTCATGCACTTAAAAACCGGATTTTTGACTGCTTTTATTAGATCCCAACTGAAAATTTGCTTTTATCAAAACCAAGTTTTTTGTGGATTTAAGCAATTCTGACGACACATTAAAGCCACTAATAATTGGGCGAGATTTAAAAATGTTTTTACAGCCATATAACCACCCAAAATCCGTTCTTTTTTTTCCATATTTATAAATCTAACACCTTAAAATTAATTTCTTGCATTTATACCCCCCAATTCTTTCACATCACATAAAACAAAACTGAACCGTGCAGGCATTAAGAAAGGAACCGCTAACGGTATACGGGGACGGGAAACAAACCCGAAGCTTCCAGTACGTATCAGACCTAGTGGAAGGGCTGATGAAACTAATGGAAGGCGAACACGTGGGCCCCTTCAACCTGGGAAACCCCGGCGAATTCACCATGATCGAGCTCGCGCAGGTTGTTCAGGAAACCATCGACCCCAACGCGCGCATCGAGTTTCGCCCCAACACCGAAGACGACCCCCACAAACGCAAGCCCGACATCACCCGCGCCAAAGAGCTCCTCGGCTGGGAACCCAAGGTACCCCTTCGCAAAGGCCTCCCTCTCATGGTTTCCGATTTCCGTAAACGCATTTTTGGCGATCACCCCACCTCTTCTTCCTCTGCTTCGGCGGTTTGATTTTGTTTTTTTCTCTTTTTTCTTTCATTCTCGATCTCTCGCCATTTTGGTTGATATCTTCTGCTCTGTTTCTTTTGAGGGATATCAGCTTCTCGCGGTAGAAGAGAGATTTCAGTCATTTTCTCTATGTTTTTTTTTTCTCCCCCTTTCGATGTTCGGGGTTTAATTAACTATATGTTTATTATATTTTATTTTTTGACCGTTGGTAAACCCTTTTTTTTTTTATATGTATTTGTTGAAAGCAGAATATCAATATAATCTCTATATTTTTCATTCAGTGTATAGTCTGCATGAAAGGTGTGCATTTTGATGTTAAATGAGTGATATTTGTAATATTTTTAACTAGGGATAATTACATGCATAGAGATAGTGCTATGAATTTAGGTTGAAGATTGTTAATCGCTTGAAACTTGATTCGAATTTTGGCTTGGATCGAGATCGGATTGAAATGAATGAGTCGGGTTATAAGTTGAAATTTTGGATCGAATTTTTTTTGAGTTGATTTCGAGCCATACATGAATTAGCTTGAACAGACTCTAATGTTTTTTATTTATAAAAGTTATATATGAAATCCCAAGTAAATTTGAAAATAATGAGTCACGGACTTATATTGAGATGATTTCGAGCTAGAATGAATCCAAATAACTACTCAATTTGAGTTTATTTCAATTTTGAGTCGGATCAAGCTGATTTTGAGCTGAAACAAATCCAGATAACTCAATTTTAGCCAAATTGATTCAATTTTGAGCTTGATTGAGCTTGATTCAATTTTGAGCTAGCTTGGCTCGAAACTGAATATCACGAGCAAGGAGCCGATTTCGAGCCGACCCCTAGCTCGACTTGAATTGGATTGTTAACAAGCTTGCACATAGAACCCGAAATATTGTTATTTGGAAAATCTAGCTCCATGGTATTTTTAAGCTACCAACCCAATGCATTTATGCGTGTCATGATCAAATCATTGAAAATTTGATAAAAATGAAAATTATGGGTTGGGATTTTATCATGAATTTTGATATTTAGGTGAGTATCTAAATTGAAGTTAGTGCTATAATAAACTAACAATTAGATTGAATAATTATAAGGTAAATAATAAAAAAAAGTAGTCAAGTTGAGGTTGATTTGAGCTTGGCTTGTTAGCTCATTGAACTCGGCTCTCGGGTTACTCATAGAGCCAAATTTGTGCCCTAAATAACTAGCCTTGGCTCAATTGTACGAGAAAATATTTTGTATGTTTGGATATTTGGATGATGACATGGATTGCAACATGTCTTTAAGCACAATGATATGGTGTAATTCACGAGAGATTATTACGTTCTTTGTTCGGATGCCGAGCTGCGTCCGGGCGGCGACTGTGATATAGCGGAGGCCCTCGATCGTCGTCCGGATGCAGCTCGGCGTCCGGACGATGGACGTTATAATTTTTCGTAATTCATGCGGTCTTATTGACATATTGACACGGTGACATGGTGTAATTCACTCCATCATATGTTAGCATGATGTAATCAAAGTTCTCTCATTTCAAAAAATAACAGTTGCAACAACAACAACAATAATATTTTATCCCACAAAATGAGGTCCACTACATAAATTTTTTTTCTCCCTTATGTCCTATTAAGTGTCATATTTTCATTTAAATTTTATAAATTAAGATAATTTTGTTACGCCGAAATTCTATTCGAATACGGTGCAATAGCTCAAAAAGAAATTATTTGTACTCTCAATAAAACACTCAAAATAGATCAAATGAATGCAATAAATAGGCATTAATATATACTTTTGAGCTAGAAAAATATGAAGAATATCCATACTAAAATCTCTTCTTCTTAGTCATATGAATCCACAAAATATCTCTTGACTTGGTCAATGATGGTTATGCTCCACTTTTTTCCCCCTTTATATAGTGTCTATTTATATGCATATAATGTTGGGTGTGGTTAAAGTAAGCTTTTATGATGCTATGAAATTAATTGGATTATCATAAATATTCAACCAATAATAAATGACTAAACATTATCATAATATGTGTGGGGCTGTAAACGAGCCGAGCTTGAGCGAGCTCAGGCTTGGCTCGTGTTCGGCTCCTTCGAAATAGCTCATGTTTGAAATCGGCTCGGGAACAGTGTGTTTGTGTTCGACTCGATTTAAATATTCGTGTTCATGTTCGGCAAAATTGACTCTTTAAACAAAAATTGAGAAAAATATATGTAAAATATGAGATTCGAACCTGGATCAAATTTATACAAAAGAAGACACTAACCACATTGCCACACAAGGTGTTATAATTTAAACTTAGGCATAAATATATATAATATATTAATGTAAATAATATATGTAATATATTATTATACAAATAATTATATATTTTTTTTTCCGAGCCATTTCGAGCCAAACACGAACGAACAAACTGTTGTTCGGGTTCGGCTCGTTTATATTTCAAGCTTAAAAATTGGTTCGTTTTCGGCTCGTTAAGCTTAATGAACGAACCGAACACGAGCTGCTTAACGAGCCGAATACGAGCTATTCACGAAGCCGAACACAAGCTGTTCACGAACAACGAGCCAAATTGACAGCCCTAAATATGCGCTCCAATGTGTTGAGTTAGAGCGTTCATTCATCCTAAAAATACAATTCAAATAACACTCTTTAACCAATCAAACAGTGATTAATGACACCACAATCATGGTTTATTTATTAAAAATAAACCAATCTTACCAAGAAAATACATTCAATAAACAATATCTCAGCGTAAAACCCAAATTGCATCATGTAAATCTAAACTCTCAACAAACTGCAAAAAAAAAATAAAATAAAATAAAAATGTTTTCTTCTCCACCTCACAAAAATAGTTCCAAGAAGCTCCCTTCCCTCCCACATGGTTTCTCCTTATGGCAAAGATTTGGTGTATTATTCCACTCTCTTCACTCAACCAAACATATTCTTAGGGGCCTCAGGAACTTGCAGGGTAGCCCCGGCTTGGATCTGGCCCCATCCGATGAGCCGCCAGTGCTTCTCGACGCGCCGGCTGAGCGCAACCTTCTCGCCTTTGCTCGTGCACACCGGAGCCGTCAGCTGCAGCTTGGCGAGATCGTTTTTGACGGCGATGACTCGAGCTCCGGTCGACATGGATCCAATGTTAAGCATGAGGATCTCGCCTTTTGTCAATTTGGCGACTTTACCTTGCTTCTCGGCGCCCTTCGTCCTCACGCCCAGCAGTCTTCGCAGCAGGAAGAAGTTGACCTGAATGATTAAAAAAAATGAGAAAATAAATTTTGGGGGATTTACATACATACCACATGGTTCTTATGAATTTATTACATTGATGACAAGTATAATTTGAATTTTATATTTCTAACACTCGAATCTTTCTTATCACATGTATATGCTACTTGCAAACTGAGAATCAGAGAGGAATCAGCTGCATAGAAAAATGTTATGAATGGAAGGGGCATTTACATATCCACCCAATTCATGTGTATTTACATATCTAACACCGAAACTTTGTAAAAACTGAAGTACAGGTGTTAGAAATGTAAATACAAAGGAATAGAGTGGTGTGCATGTAAATATTCCCAAACGTAGATACCGAACTTTAGGAGTTAGACATGTATATACATAAGAATTGCGAGGTATGCATGTAAATTTAAAAATGTAAATACAAAGGAATGGAGTGGTGTAAATGTAAACATTCCTAAATGTAGATATCAAACTTTAGGTGTTAGATATGTAAATACAAAGGAAATTTGAGAAATTTGAGGAAAAGGGAGAAAGAGGTTCAAAGTTTAAAAGAAAAATTGAGGAAGGGGGAGGTTGTAAATATGAGAAATTTATAGAAGAGGCAAAAAGGGAGCTTGAGACAAGCAGTCTCCTTCAGAGGGAGAAAGGAAATATCAAAGGAAAAGACTGCGTTCAAATCATACTGATAAAAAATGGCATCCATAATCTACTTTTTATAAAAATAAATCCAAGCATCTAAATCAAATTCAAATCTAATTCCTATGAACTAATAGAAATTTGGGACAAAATTATCAAAAAATGGTAACTTATAGCCAAAAATAAGCCGCATAAATACAAATTTAATTTCATAAACAGATATAATATGAGTTGAGTCTAGAATTGAGCATTTGGGTACCAATGATCCCTCTGCTCAGTGCTTATAAAGCATGTGTCAGACACCTTAGATTATGCTGCTGACAGTGTTGCCAAATTGTAAATAGCGCAATAGGAGGAACAATGATAGAACGTTGTGGCTTTACATACACACCACGCAATTTTTATGTATTTACATATCTAACATTTAAACCGTCACTTATTTTTTTAAAAGTGAAATACATATTTTCATGCATAATTTTATGACCCCGAGTTTTTATAAGATTAAATATAGATATGTAAATACAAATGAATTTTGTGGTATGTACATACATTTCCTTGGAAAATTTCAAGTTTTTAAATTTTTTTTTTTTTATTTCAAGTTTTCTTTAGATGAATGTAAAAGACACACACAGCACAGATGTTTCAAACAGGACAAAAATCAAATTCCAGAACTTTTTTTTGGAAAGAAGAAACTGACCTCGAGCTCCACAAAGACATCAGGGAGCGAATTCACCTCACCAAGAACCTGACCAACAAGCCTATCCGCACGGGTTAGCGTAGGATCCATTGTGGTGCCGACGCCAATAAGTCCGCCGGGTACGGCAAACTGGAGCTCGTTTTGCTCGGCAAAGAGAGATACAATCCTAGAATAAATTGGAGTGCATTTTATATTTCCATTCTCATCTTTCATGACAATGCCGGGACGAACCTCAATGAACTGATTCACCTTTAGCACTCCCTGCAAAAAGAGAATAATTTTACCAAGGTTTTAGATCAATCAAGAGAATCAATCAAGTGTAGCTAATTTCAAGAAAATAAAGAGATAAATTAAATATCGTTGCAGATGAGAACATTAAAGATTCTCTATGATTAAAATTTTGGTTAGGATGCATCATAAACTTTTTAAATTTACTTTGAGATGAGTGCAACGGGTCAGAAATTAATATTACACTCATCTCAAAGCAAATTTAAGGGCTTTCAATCTCATCCTAATCACTTTTTGGTAAAGATATTCATTAAAAAAAAATTATTTCCATTCTGAAGGGCCTAAACTAGAACACAAATGACCAATCTTACATCAACATTATTGGGGGATAAATCTTGCTTTATAATGACTTTGAGAGCTAAGGTTCAACATTAAGTTCATTATAAAGCGGCTGATATATTAGAATATATTGATTACTCCATATAGAATGGTCTCTCATCACTTTGCAGGAGTCTGTTATCACTACTTCTGCAGTTCAATAAATGGATTTGAATCTTTTTTATGTAAGAAATATCACTATTCTACTTTATACATTGGTATAATAGACTTCTTTTGTTTTAAGATCAAATCCTCAGCTAGAGCAAAGCCAATAATATATTGGAGAAAAATTATTTTCATTTCTATACATATTGATGTATGAATGACTTGTTGATGCAGATTGATGCAGTTTTGCATGTTTTGAGTAGGTGGAAATGTTGAGAAGGTAAATGGTATAAGCAATTTGCTTTAGTTTTATTCATTCGAATGTTTTCATTCATTCTGCTATTTTAATTTGAGGCATTTACATACTGCCACACAATTCTTATGTATTTATATATCTATCACCTAAAACATTCACAAATACATGCATAAAACTCCAATCTTTAACAGAGTCAAAAATGCCTCCAATATAATCTTTTTAAAAGTGAAATACAACTTTTCATGCAAAGGTTTATGACATCACAACAAAACTAACCACCATCACGATCTTTTTAAAAGAGAAATGCAACTTTTAATGCATAATTTTATGATACCAAGATGTTATAAGAGTGAATATCAAACTTTGGGTGTTAGATATGTGAAAAATATGAGAATTGTGTGATATGTATGTAAAATTCCCTTTTAATATTGCTCATCTATAGAGATGTTCGTTATGATGATGCCAAGATAGCGAGATGTGCTCGCCTTAACTATAAAGTTTCTAGTCCAGGTAACCTTTCCTCTAGTACAATTTAAAGCTACTACAAATATTCTGAGAAGTTTGGTGGATTAATTCTATTTGATTAGATGATCTAGGTATCCAACCCTAGTAGAGGATCAATCAAATCACCTATCATTATGATTTGAGCATACGTTCATAGAAATATTGATGATATTATGAGCATGAAAGCTTTAAAAAATAATTTCTCCAAGAAAATAGTCCATGGTGATGATCCTAAAATCACATCATTGAACTTCGAGAGAATGTCACTAAGAATCCATTGGTATAATGAAGAGTCAATCAAATATCATATAAAAAAGTAAATTCTGGATTAGCATTTGAGTAAAATGATTTAGTTAAAAAAAGAAATTTCTCTTTGGATTTAACTTCTCTTCGATATGATTATGTAGATTTAAACATGCCTGAATGTTCCCATGGAGAAGATTCGCAAGGTTTTGAATTAGGGGGGG